GCATAAAATGCTGCACAGGTGCAATGAGCAATTGCAGCAGTTCAGTCATGTAAACAAGAAAGCACTTGACCAGTATATAAATTTTACAGAACAACGAGAGGAACTTCAGAAAAGACAAGCAGAGCTTGATGCAGGAGATGAGGTACTTCACTGAAATTCCTTTTGGAATGCCCTTTATAATTGTTCCCAAAGAAACAAAAGTCTTGGATGCCTAAAATGCTTAACATATAATTGCAGAAAATTAGAGAACTGATATCAGTGCTAGATCAACGGAAGGATGAATCAATAGAACGTACTTTCAAAGGTGTGGCTAGGCATTTTCGAGAAGTATTTTCTGAACTTGTGCAGGGGGGGCATGGTCATCTGGTTATGATGAAGAAGAAGGTTTGTGATGGTTCTTGGCTTATCAATCAGTTCTTGCATTTGAATGGAAGAAGTGACATTTAATAGCTTCTTATATGGGTTTCATGTTTTAAAATAGTTTTATCATTAATATTTTCTAATATTTCCATGTGAACTTAATACCTCTTTATTTCTTTGTATTTCCAAAAAATTATGTGAGGAATCTCAAGAAAGAAGTTTTTTTAAGTTATTGTAATTGATAAGAAAGTGGTATTTTTGTATTGTATTTCATTTCCCTCAGGATGGTGATCATGATGATGATGATCAAGATGAGGATGGTCCTCGTGAAGCAAATCCCGAGGGGAGAGTAGAAAAGTACATTGGAGTGAAAGTAAAGGCAAGTGTATTCTTCTTGTGGCCTTTTGTTTGTTTTTGTTTTAAAATTTTAATGTAATATTGTGCCAGAATGCTTGGGGTTTGTTTTGTAGATTAAGAGTCAGAGAAAATGGGTTGGCATAGAAAATTCTTTGTACCTATAGATATTTTTCCTATTTTTTTCATTTTCTGATTGGCATTAGACAGAAGTTTCATACCTTATGCAACCAAACAAAAACATAACTTCATATCATCTGACAAAGGAAACTGCATTAAAATATTTGTGTACTGTTCTCTGATACTTTACTTCAGTTGCTCCAAAAAATTGGTGATATTCATTTTCTACTATATTATTAAGTACATAACATCTAACTGTGATATTTCTGGACATGTTTATGCCTTTCAGGTCTCTTTTACCGGACAAGGGGAGACACAGTCCATGAAGCAGTTGTCTGGGGGTCAAAAAACTGTTGTTGCCCTTACACTTATTTTTGCCATACAGCGATGTGATCCTGCTCCCTTTTATCTATTTGATGAGATTGATGCAGCACTGGATCCACAGTACAGAACTGCTGTTGGAAGTATCCATTTTATTATTATGTTTGATTCCTAGTTATGTCTAACTGGTCCTGTGCAATTCTTCCATCTCTATTTACTGCACACTGCATCTTCCATTACATAAAATGTTATAGCACATAGTGGAGGTAGGGGTGTAGGTTTCTATTGTATGTGGTGGATCTTCTACCGTTGAAAACATAACAGCTATCTGGTACAACTTAATGGCTCAAAGCTCTTAGTATTTGGGTACTCAATTGTGAGTGGAATGGAATGGGATGGAAATAAATGGAGTGGAATAAAATTGCCATTGCATTGATTGAATATTTTTATAATGAGATGGGGAAAAAAGTGTGCTTCTGTCCCATTCTTCTGAATGCATTCCATTAGATTCCATTCCATGCCTCCCTGTTTTAAACAATTCAAAGAATGAAATATATATTATTTCATTTCATTCTGCTCCATACCATCCCTTCTCTATCTGCTGGAGAATATGTTGAAAATATCTATAACGTCATATTGATCATAGCTTATCCTTTAGGTTTAGTTACCCTATTTTCTTCTTCTCTCTTAAGTTTGGTTAGTTACCCTAAACCCTAATTCACATTTCGTTATCTCCTTACTTTATCATATATAGTTAGGTTTTATGAACAATACATTGTAGTATATCGTATCAAGTCAATGTCAATCTAATAATCAGTCTCTATTCTCTCCTTTTCCTCTCTATACCTAAACCCCATAATTTCAACACCATCCAAACATATATTAGGTATGCATTTCCTTGTCATTGAATGCCTCTGTTACTAAGTGTGATCCATACAAGGAAGTTGCTTATTTATCCCATTGTTAATTGTTAAATCTGAATTTTAGCCTCTATCTGTTATCAACTTGAAGCTTTTTAATTTGATTGGTACATCCTGAATTTATCCCATTGGTGCTCTTGTTTCATTCAAGGTGCATAGTAAAAGTGCAAACACATACTTTCATGTTTCTTTTTTCATAGGTATGAGTTTTCTTGCACTGCTACTGCTATTAGGAGCACATGGATATGAATAGAGACAGCTGTGCACAAGAAATATAATTTCAATTGAGTTTCAAAGGGCGTATTCTTTGGAGTGGTAGATCATAGAAGTATATTTTAGCTTTGGTCTTGTTCTGTTAGTGAGGGCTTAGTACTTAGTTATCACTTTGTAAATAGTATGCTCTTCTTGAGTTTATTGAAGCGAAATGGGGCTTGGGGTTTGTTCATTGGATAAAACTTAGATGTAATACCATAATTGCTTTTAGAGTTGTTTATCCAATTAAGATTGAAGTTTCCATTGGTAAAGTGTGCTAACTTTTAATACTGAAATACTGACCTTATGTGAATTGCTGAGGTGAAATGAAACTTTAAATTTAATTGGAGAACAATGCCAAAAGCCCCAATACTAGTGCACAGAAGTTTTGTCTTTATACTGGTAATGAGTTTGCTTTAAAATGGAAATGATTAGAGAAATATTTACATTAATATGGGATTTTGGTGATATTTAAATTTAAAATTTCGTTCATGCTTGTGATATTTTGAATGGCATCTAGGTTTCCTTTTATATAGTTGTACCTTGTGAGATTCTTAACTTCCATAGATATGATCCGTCGCTTGGCCGATCTAGCAAACACTCAATTTATCACGACAACATTCCGCCCAGAGCTAGTGAAAGTTGCCGACAAGATATATGGAGTGACACATAAAAACAGGGTCAGCCGTGTTAACGTTGTATCCAAAGAAGATGCACTAGAATTTATTGAGCATGACCAGACGCACAATGCTGAATAAGGTTAGCCTTATAACTTGTCCACTATTCCTTTTGATGTTTATTGTTGTGATGTTGCCCGCTCCTATTTGGAGTTTTTGAATTTCCTGACTGTGCAACTCTGGTCGTTGCAAGTGCAGAACTTGTACCTTTGTAAATATAAAGTAATTGTGTTTTAATGTCAAGTAGTACGTACTTTACATTGAAAAATTACAAGATTTGTAACTTGTTTTGGCAATGGTTTAAATGAGCCAATGATCCCCTTTTTCTAATGATTTACTTTAGGTGGTCAGTTGTGTACATGTTTTGATGTGGTATTTTTTGTGTTAGGTGCTTCTGACTCATGGTCTCAACTAAAATTACAGCTCTGGGCACACTTCAAAGACTGTGAATTAGATTGCAGACCCGAGTTCATTCAAATTCTTCAACCTACAATTTGTATGAACTGGTGTGACGCTAAACTAGGACTTAGAGTAACCAAAAAGCTGTTTCGCCCTCCCTCCACTTCTGTAAATCTTTTGTAGTTTGTTTATATGTTAATATCTTGTACGGACTGCAGTACATAGGTTCACGGGGAATATATTGGAACACTGCTTAATATTGTATCAAATATCTTCTAAATATTAGTTTTATGCATACAACAACCCACCATTTAAACGTCTTTTTGTCGTCGTTGTGGCAAGTAAAATCGATTTGATCCTTGTGCTTTAAATATAACAACAGAAAAATTCACATGGTCTTTGAAAACAAAAATTTCGTACGCGGGTATTAATGTTGTCCAGGTATGCTGGAGAATTTCCGTGACTTGATGCGATGGCTTTTTTTCTCCACCCTAATCAGAAAACAACTGTGGAACACTGGAAGTTAATATTTAATTGGCTACATGATATTCATAAATTAGTTAGTAGTCAAAAAGTTTTAAATCCATGTAGCCTTTTCTTGATTTCACAATAATATACTTCAATATTTATTTTCATGGCACAACTTCATGATTATTTTACCATATTACGTAATTGTGTATACTGTATATCTAATCATTAACTATATCATTCGAAGAACTGCATATTCTGAACTACATGTGACTTGTTTTACTCCAGCTTTATTATTTAAACATCAAATAGTTGCATATATGTATAAAGATCATATACTTCCTTTTGAATTGTTTAGAAACCAAAAAAAAAAAAAATATTCTTAAATGACGGTGAATTGCTAGGACCTAATTGAATTTATAGTGAAATTAAGAATAAAATGATAATTTAACCTATTTATTAACTAATAGTTCTCAGAATGTACAACACATCAAATAGGTAATTGTGTCTTTTTGGGACTGAAAACTTGGCAATTTTATAACTAGAAAAAATGTTAATTATTTAAAATTAGGTTTGCGCCCATGGCAAAATGTGATATGTGAGAACGGGAACTGAAAAATTAGATGGGCCAAAAAGTTCTTTTAAGCCCTCACTTCTATATTTGTTTGTCATTGCAAATCACAAGCTAAATAAAAACTGCCCTACATTTACAAATACAAGGATCTAAGCGACATAACATCAGCCCAATTTATACCTTCGTGATTTAGCGGAAGTTCAAACTCTGCATTTTATTCTGTTTTAATTTTAATAACTATAGTTTTTTTTTTATAATTTGAATATTTGTTTAACAGAACAAACCAAAAATGTTTAATTTTCTTCGACATTTAACGTTTGAGTTCCATTACACACAAACAATTTCTTTTTTAAATAAAATTTAATTTTTATTAATAAAAAAATCAGTGGCTAAGTAAGCACTTAACTTTTATTGGGTTTTATGCTGATTTCTTTTTTTCTTTCTGACGGTTCTTTTTCTTTGTCTCCTGCTAGTTGGGCCTTAAGCTCCATTTATTCAGCAACAACAACAAAAAAATTAAAAAATAAAATAAAAATTAAGCACTTGCCAACTGAGAGCTAGAGCAGCGCGTCCACAGGACTATAGCACTGTGTTTGTGGTTTAATCTGCTCGTTTTGAGAACTGTTCCTTTTCGTGTCGTTGATTTTACAGGTTTCATTCTGAATCCCTTTTTCCAGTTCTGTCTTTTTGAGTATCAGGATCCAAACACTGTTACCCTTTGGTTTCAAGTTTTGATTTTCCTGCATAGGGGTCATTGGGTATAGGTGGAACAATGTCTGATAAGTGATTTGTGGAAATTGTAATTTTCTTTTCACTTCGTCCTTTGTTTGAGATATGATGAAATTGTGATTTGCAGAATATAAATTACAAAGAGAAGAACATGAACAAGGATAAGATCTTCAAGCTAGCAAAGGGGTTCAGGGGTAGAGCCAAGAATTGCATAAGGATAGCAAGGGAGAGGGTGGAGAAGGCATTACAATATTCCTACAGAGACCGCCGCAACAAAAAGAGGGACATGCGATCCCTTTGGATCCAAAGGATCAATGCTGGCACACGCATTCATGGGGTTTATCTTCCCACTCCTTTTCATCTCTCTCTAATTCTTTGACAATTCAATACTTGGCTAAAAGAAATTTCATATTGCTCATATTTTTTTCATCAAACTTTGATTTTTCATTAATATCATGGTCAGCCATTCTTTCTTTCTTGAGAGTGGATTTTGTCTCTGTTTAATGTGTTATAGAAGGAAGCCATTAAAATTAATTTCTTTGAAGCAAAATAGCTGACTTAGAAGAAAGCAAAACTGGATTTTTAGTTGAACATGCATCTGGATTCAAGTTAACCTTATTCCCTGTACTAAAATGACTATGGGCTGAATACAAGTTGTGTATGAGTGATACATTTTAACCTCTAATGGGTCGAGAATTGAATGCACCTCCGTCTGAAATCTGTAAAATATCGCTCATGCTTTAACACCTCTATTACTCCTTTTAATTTTAAGAGTGTATGTGCATGCATATACTCTTCTGTGTGCACCATGAATTGTATAATATTCTGGCATTTCCTTTATCAATTGATTTTTTTTTTTTTTTGCTTTTATTTGCTAGGTCAATTATGGGAACTTCATGCATGGGCTGATGAAGGAGAATATTCAACTTAACAGAAAGGTTCTGTCAGAGTTATCTATGCATGAACCTTATAGCTTCAAGTCGCTGGTAGATATATCACGAAATGCATTTCCAGGAAACAAGAATGTGGTGGTTCCTCCTAGAAAGGTGGCCTTTTAGAGCATGTGGCATGTCATTAAACATATAGTGCTAGTTTATATTAGAATCGTTAACTATTTTTGAGGATTTTGGGTTCAGTACCCTCTATGTTACTATCAATTTTGCTTGCCTGTGATTCACAAACTCATTGTGTACTTCGTAATTACATGATTTTCCTCTTCCTCTGCCCTTGCTTTGGTTTTCAGTAATATTCTACTATAACAAAGCTGGATCCCAAGTATGGTCGCCTTTATGGATCATTTGTTGCCATTAGGCTCTATCAAAATTAAAATTTTTTTTTTTAACAAGAAACATTTACAAGACTTCTATTTGTTCTTTTCTTTTTTTTGGTCGATAAAACTTATACCTGTTCCAAACCCAAAATTACATGTTAACGTGGGAAGAACAGTTGTGTCTCCTAGGTCATATTTTAAAGATTGGAAGATCACAAAAAGTTAATTTCATGTTTAATTATGATCCTTAGCAGCCATCGCGTACAATTACTAAATTATCCATACCTATTAATACTTAATAGAAATTTAAATTTACAAGATCAAATTGGCAAGGCACATGACATGCTTCTGTTCGAGTGATAAATGGAGTTTCTCTTGGGCTTTCATTACAAAGGTAAACGTGTTAATCATTTACTTTGCAAGAGAGTCGAGTCTCCTTGTAGAAAAATAAATGTGAGAGCGTTATTTGAGTAGTTATCTCATGCGCTTTTAGTACTTAGTGGGGTTTGTAGACAACCCAAATCCAAATGGAAATAAAGGATCGTAATGTTTATCACCAACACTCATTGGGAGCTGGTCAACTGTCTTAAACCATGTTCTTGCTAGCTTGCCAGTGAATCCATAGTCACCAAAGAGAAGATCAATGACACCTTGGCCTTCAGTTCCCGGAAGCCATGCAGCCACAAGTGCGTCTATTTTTGATAGATATGGCTGAACTACAACTGGACGGCCAGTTATTAGAACCACCACGCATTGAATAGATCCACATACATTGGTGATGGTGCTTGGACCTGGCTCAGCTAAAGTCAGATTCAAACTATCACCAAATGTTTCTGCATAAGGTTGTTCACCTACAACCACTATGGCATAAGAAAACTTGTTGGACTTAACAAATTTCGAGTCAGGATTTTCATTGTAGACCACTTCAGTAGCAGGATCAATCGTTTGTTTTACAGCATCTAGGATTGTTGTACCTGTTAGGAAAATGGCATTTTTGTCATATATTTTGTAGTTATCAAATAACAGAAAACCATGATCAAATACATATGAAGTTGTTGTGTATATGAATGTTTTTCAATTTAACCCATGAAGGTTACAATTAAAAAAAAAAAATGCATTTTAACATGTAATACTAAACAGTCACTTCTGTAAAATTTACATAATCATATACACACTACTACAGCTACCGTGAGAGAACTTTCTACAAAGGAAGCTTTTAAAGTATTTTAAACACTCCAAAGTTAAGCATGTTTACTTACCCACTGTAAGATTATTGCCACCGAGCCCCTGCCAAGTAATTGTCCATCCTCCACATTGATAACCCAAATTGTCAGCATGACTTCCTGCCACCAGTATTTTTGTAGCTTTCTTGGGAAGAGGAAGCAGTGATTTCTCAGCAGATTTACCATTCTTTAACAACACAAGTGATTTCCGTACAGCTTCCCTTGCTAACTGTCTATGCTCCTGTTGAAGGCACAGTACTTAATCAAGAAAATAACAATTTCCATTTGAAAGAAATGGTTGAAATTAAATCCTTGAGAAAATATACCTTACTACCAAGTTGATTCACCAGGCTTAGATCAGCAAGTGGATTTTCAAATAGGCCCATGACAAATTTTACTCTTAAGATTCTTGCCACAGCATCATCAATCCTACTTACCGGGATAATATTGTTCTTTACTTGATAAGTCAGGTCATCAATGAATTCAGTGAAATTATAGGGAACCATGATCTGTAAAATAATGTAAATGTTAAATAAAATGAAAAAACATAATGCTGAATTTCAGACTCAAAAATCATAATATCTCTTTCTTTCTTTGTTTCATAGAAGATGACATTAAAGTTTACCATATCAATTCCAGCACCAACACCAGCTTGAACTGAATATGAATAATTAGAGTGAGGAGGAGAAGTGATCCTGTCAATGCCTAGCCAATCTGATATGACAAAACCCTGAAAGTTGCCAAAAGAGGTACATCACATGCTGCACGTTTATTCATCTTCAATTTTTTTTCTATTGGCTTGTTCACTTCAATTGCATTATGAGAGTACTAATCAAATAATTTTTATTACCCTGAATTTTAGTTTGTTCTTGAGATAATCAGTGACAAGATAATGATTAGCATGCATCTTCTTGCCATTCCAGCTAGAGTAGGAGACCATTACTGTTGAGACCCCCTTGACGATGGAGTCATGATATGCAGGCATGTGAATGCTAAGTAATCCACTTAAACTGATCATAGTATTGTTCTCATTGATGCCCTTGGTTGTGCCACCATCTCCTACATAATGCTTAGCACAAGCTGCAACCTTATTCCTGGGTCAAAAGAGGTTAAAATGTTGAAGGTATTCTACCCCTCAAAAAAAGATAATGAATGTAAATTCTTATTTCAATCTTCCAGTTCAGGAAAGCAGTTTCTGTTTTTGGTTAGACCTTGTAACCTCCATTAATACAGTGTTAATGTAAATCGCAGTCTATTGTAAACAGTTTTAAAATTGTATGGTTGTCTTTATGTATCCCACAGTAAGGTCTGCAAATAAATCGAAAGATTTATTGTCCAGATAGAAACAGATCATGCGTCACATTTAACTGTAATACATGATCCAGCCAGAGAACATCGACTTTCCTCAAATTACCAATTCCAGAATGCAGGATGTCTTTTACCTCATTAGCTGAATGTTTAGGCAAGAATATAGTGCCTTTACATTGAAACAAAATTTAAATTAAAGTTTTAATAATATCATGCTTCTTATAGAAGTAAAAGTAACAATGTGTTTGCACAGAAATCCCCGAAGAGCTAAAAAAAAAAAGAATTAAAACATTCAATAAATACAGTACATTGTTTTTGCCTAAAAACGATGAAAAAACAGAAAAATAAATGAAGTTTAAAATAATTTATATGCAAAGTAAATTTTCTAATAATAATAACAAACTATAAACAAGAGGAGAACAATAACTGAGTCATTATTACCATCCAACAAATGTGAATGGAAAATTTTACACACAAAAAATCAAGGATGACCAATTAATCTACTGGTTAATATTGAAGTCCATAATTTTATTTTACTTTTGCAGTATCAAGCTACTACCAAGAATCTTACTTTCCTGCAACAAAGGGAACTCCCTTTCTAGAATTGGCACCAATGTCTCCTTGTAAACCAGGAATAATTTCAGTCATAGCTTGAACAATCTTAGGGTCTTCACTGTAACTTTCATAGCAACGTCCCCATCTAGGATCTCTACAGACCTGTGGAAGAATAGGTTATCAACATAGTAAGACATATGATCAATGTAAAACATTTATGTGATCTTAAAATCAGAATAATCAACACAGCTTAATTACCGCAATACATGGAGCAAAAACATATTGAATTCCAGTAGCTCTAACTTCAAGGGCAGTTGCATCTCCAATCTTCTTTATTAGCCCCGGGTCCCTAAAAGCCAGTATTATTTATTACAATTGTGAGTATTCGGTTAAGCAGCTAGATAATGCTAACAGATAAAAGTTAAATAATAGTTCATTTCAAGGAAGAATAATTAATTAAGGGCTTTCAAGCTTCAACTGTATGACACCATTAGAATTTGGAAAAAAAATGTCTGATTGCAGTACTAGAGTAGTTGACTACTCATTGAAGTACATATATACGTGCCTGGTAACTCCTAGACCAACATTGTGAGGAAAGATGGTGGCCTTGTAGACATTGTTGTGTCCATGAACTGCATCTATGCCATAAATCATTGGAATCCCAAGGCGTGTTGACAAAGCTCCATTTTGGATCCGATTCACCATTTGGATCCAAGTCTCAGCAGATGCCTTTGTGTCTGGAACACTCCCTCCTCCACTCAGCACACTCCCTGACCATCAATGATCAAATTTATTTACATAATGTCACTTCCTTTATAGCAAAAAAATGCACTTTATATTATACAAATAATCATCATACACCCAGATAAGGAAAAGAAAATATCACTAAACACTAACTCCTAAGCTTAGTAGCATATTATAAAGCACCAGTATTACTATTTGGTTACCAATGAAGTACTTCTTCATCACTTCAGGGGTGGCAACACTTCGTTCAATCTGCACCATTTGGCCTATCTTCTCCTCCAGGGTCATTCGCTTCAGCAAGTCCCTTATTCTAACATTCAGTGACTGTTTAGGGTCTTTGTACTTAAAGTATTCTGCTTCTGAAACAAAAATCAGGAACCAAAATAGTAGAACACACACTAGGGGTGTTGAAATTGTCCTCATTTTAACACTTGAAGTTGAACCTATATGTTGTAACCTGCAACAGGTAGTGAAATATGCTCACAATAGCCACAACAAGTGAATACCCTTAAAACAAACATATCAAGAATGAACACAAAGAAGGCAAGAGATAAACATGCCACTTTAAGAACACATGAAAACGGAGTATCTATAGTTAGAGGCATTAAGGAGGGTTACCCACTAGCCTGCTGGCACTGAAGTGAGGTGGGAGAGAAGTGTATGATAGTAATATGAACTGTGTAGTGTACTAATGTAGTGTGGTCAGAGAGAAGAGTGAAAGCAGTTGTCAGTGACTGGTCCCATTGCAATAACGCAGGAGCAACTCACATTCTGTGTTTCTCAACTTGATTCTTAAAATATATGTGGTATGCCCACATTAATTATGTGAATTATATTGTTAACTTTATTAACCTACGAACAATAAATATTAAAAAAATCATGAACAAAGTAAAAAATAACGAGTAGACATATAACTAACTAAATACACGCATTCAATATATCAAGTTCAATAAAAGCGGATTTTCTTTCACAGTAGTTGGTTTTTAGGGGGCATTTTATCTCTTGTTTACCAATGTTAAACAAACATGCCCTTGATGAGATTACCAGCACCAGAGAAGAAAAATAAATAAAAAATATGATAAGTAATGAAATGTGATGAGAGAATAATCGTATAAGAAAGAATGAGATGTAAAAAAAAATTCTAATAGTATATAAAAATCGTAATTTTTTCAAAATCTTGTGCTTATATCATGCAATACACACCAATCTAAGTGTGACAAAATGTGAAACACATTTTTACATCAATTTATGCTGGTAATGTTCATGTCGATGATTAAAAAAAATGCATTTTACTGTAATTTAAAATAAAATATAAAGAATTATATTTACTGTTTTACTATTTGTGCTTATTTATTATACTAGTAATTATAAAGATATTAATTTACTATTATATTTCAAACCAATGGTTTTCAAATCATATTAATAATAATGAATATTTATTTCCTCAAACATGTCATCCTATTATGAGATTGCTAAGAAATAAAATATTACCATATTATTTATTCTCAATTTTACATTAAGATAATAAATTTAAGATACAAATATAAAATAAACATTGCTTTATATCAATGATTGTT